CTTCTTGTTGCGTGTGCGGCTGCTGCTGCGGTGGTGGCCGCGTGAGAGTGAGTGAGAGAGAGCCGTGCACCGCCCGCACACACACTCGTCCTCTCTCTCTCTGTGTGTGTCCCCTTGCATGGACTCTCGCCCTCACCTCACCCCACGAAGCACACACATAATGTGCCCATTGTATATATTCATGCACACCCATGCAGGCCCGTTGGTGCTCTCTTTTGCACGACACGCACCGCTGCCGTCCTGCCTGGCTGCATGGGCGGAGCACCGTAACTGTTTTGTTTTTATTGCATTGAGTGGGCGACCTCTCTCTCTCTCTCTCCCTGTGTGTGTGTTTTGCTTTACGGGAGCAATGAGAGTGTGTGCGCTGGTTGTCCCACGATTCGGCTTTTTGTTTTGTTGTTTTACTTGTGTTGTGGTTGGTGCGCCCATTACCTTTTTTTATTATCGATTATTGGTTTGCTTAGAATGTGGACGCATGATTTTCTATTTTTATTTTATTTTTTCTTTTTCTTTGAGATATTGTCAGTGTTTCTTATTCTTTTCAAACCATGGAGTGCCTTCCTTAACGTACGGCATGTGTCAGTTGGTCCACGTCACCAGGAACCAAAGGAGTGCGGCGGGCAGCAGCAGCAGTATAAGGCGGTATGGCACGTGAAACCGCACAAAATGACGGACAAGCAGATTTGCCTGTTGCCGAGGCAGGACACAGACGCGGTCCGAAGATCAGTGCGGAGCACAACCGATTCCAGAGGATGAGGGTGCGGCGCCGCCACGCCGCGAAGATATCGCCAGCTTGGGCTGGATGAAGCCCCAAGTTTTTCCACACGGACTTCCAGAAGCGTAGTGAAGCCACGGCGTAAGGCTTGATTTTGTTCCTCCCTTTTCGGATGAATTCTGTGAAATGCAGCATTTTTCCGGGAGAGGCAATGTGTGTGCTTTTTATGCTACTTCTGCGGCGGACTCGGCTTGTTCCATTTTGTTTGTCCAGATTGTTTTGGGCTGTCACGGCTGCCGCGCGGGATATGGCGCTCAGCTGCTCGTAAGATACCACTGCGAATATCCAACCATGCGGACGCGGCGGCAAGAAGTGTTTCACTCGACGAGGTGAAAGCAGGCCAATCCGCTTCACGCAGGGCAAAAGTGGCTTTCTCCCGCCGAGGCAGCGTGTTGGCTATTCGCGGAATGCCATCTTCCATCCCCACCGAGTAAGATATTAAGCAGTGGTCCGAATCCATGTAGAGAGTGGACTGCCAGTGGGAGATGCGCAGGGCGCGGTACGCAGTCACGTCAGGGGACGAGGCATTACGATGTGTGATCCGTGTTGCCTGCGCCGGGTCATTTGCCAGCCCAAAATTCATATCAATTAAAATAGCAACAAAGTTCTCT